TAATTGTATATATATTATATATAATTATAATATGTTATAATATGTTATATTAGTTAATATATAATTTAATATAATGATATATATATATATAAAATATAAAATATTGTTATATTAAAGTTGCTTTTCTCCGTAGAAACTGTTGCTGTAAATTCTTGATGAAAATTCTCAATTTAGCGTTTTTCTTTCGTTAGGATTATACGGGCGAAAGAACGGAGAGTTGATTAGGAAATTGAACAAGGATTTCCCGAACATCGCGCCGATAACGTTGCTGTTCGGAGAAACGTGTCCTGAAGGCGAAGTGAAACGCGTGGCTTCTGAAATACGGGAATTCTACTTCGGCGATGCACCGATCGACAATTCCACGCGATTCAACGTGATCGACGTGAGTTCCTCAGCCACGGAAATTTGATCCCTGGATACACAAAATTTTAATGTCTCGTCTCTCTCCAGACGTTGCAATAAAACAAAGTAAACTCAAGGCGAAACGGCGAGTAGATTAAAAATGATTTGGCAGATCTGTAATTTCCTACATTTACCTTAGGATTATTAATTTTAACGCGATCAACGTTATCTTTTCTTGTTGCACTAATATCGCGCGTTTAATACTGGAACGTACCGGCATTACATACATATATACAGGGTGATTCACGTAACTTGCACACCTGAATTATACGTCTAATAAAAAATTGTCAAAAACAAAAGTTGTATGGTTTTAAAGGAGGCAAAATATAACGTATCAGTTTTTTGTACGTGTTGAGGTATTTCAAAATTTTCAATCAACGAATTAGACTATATATTTTTCTTTATCATAAATCGAGAGAATATTAAATTTCAAATAAAAAAGCATTAAATCCACATTAAAGCATCAATCCACAACCTAATGGTTAAGGAGATATTTTACGTTAATTTTACGATCATCGACGTCCTTGGATATTTCGAAACTCACAAGAAATTGATACACCATATTTTCCCTCTTTTGAAACTTTTGTATTAAACGATTTCTCATTAGACAGTAACGAATTAATAATTTCATAATTAAAAGAACGTTGTTTTTGTTGTGCAAATTATTCGAATCACACTGTGCATCTATTCTATACTGTAATCAGTGAAATCTTTTTACGAAGGGAAATAGAGATGTCAGTTTAATACAGGAATAACAAGAAATGAAAATTGAATCTCTTCGTTTCTTTTTCTCCTTTTTTGACCAAAAGTCAAAGAACGAAGAATTTCAAATCAAATTTTTAAACCGGTCACATTTTCACGTATTAAACGATCGAAATATTTCGCAGATGTACAGCGACGCCTGGTTTACTCACGCGGCTTACACCGCGATACGTGACTATCTCGAGAAACAGTCATCACCCATCTACTATTACTATTTCGCCTACAGAGGAAGCGCATCGTTCAGCAGGATATTCGGCGATCGCGACCACAATTACGGTGTGTCGCACGCGGATGAGCTGCAGTATTTATTCCCCGTCGGAGAACAATTATTCAAGGACACGCCACTGAGCGAAAAGGATCACCAGATGGTCGACATTATTACGAGCCTTTGGTACAACTTTGCGAACTCTGGGTAAATTTCTTTTATAAGATCACTCATTCACTCACTCATTTATACACACAGAGGTACGGACAAATTTTTTTTTTATAATTAACTTTTTTACAATTAACTAACTTCCAGCAATCCTACGCCAGAAGTGTCAGGGCAGACACCCAAGTGGAAACCCGTGAGAACGAGGGCATTCGAGCATCTTCATATAGGACAGGATGACGTTCGAATGTCAGAGAATCTTATATTGGAGAGAATCAACTTCTGGGAAGATTTGCAGATACGAGCGGCCCTAGACAACAATGGCGTGCCCCATCAACAGAAGGACGAATTGTAACGCCTTGTGTTTCTGTTACAAACTGCATGATATCTAACGTGCACTTTAGATTCGATTGCTGCACGCCAACGAACGAGCATTGAAGAAAGACAAGGGCGCACGATCGTATCGGAGAAAACGTGAAACGAAGTATGAAATAAAAGAATCAAATGCCAGCCAGCAGTTTGCATTTGCACGCACACGGTGAACGGTGTTACTCATGTATAATATATTACGCTTTTTAGTATACATATTCGTACACAAATACGCGACGTTAGAGAAATCTTTCGAGTCACTGTCGTTGTATACTTAACACATTGTTCAGGCAGTTTTACGCAGAAACTATCTCGCGTCGCCGGCTGTTATTTCATAATTGATTATGAAAGTGAAACAATCTAAAGAAACTTCAATATACAGAATGAATTTAAATAAAACTTTGTGTATCTCTTATAATAGAGGGTATTACTCTGTCAAAAATTAAAATACCTAATGCTAGTGCAAATACGAATTAACCCGGCCAACAATGTGTTAATCATCTATGCTTAATCCACTTTATATAGAGTATTTTTTTTTTCTTTCAGAACATTTGTTAGAAGTAGAAAGTAACAAGCTCCGTTTGTATCCCTCAAAACCTCAACGTTTCCTACTTTTTCCTCTTGGCCTTCCTTCGCTTTTCATAGTCTTCACGTTGAATGTTCTTTGGTGTAGAGTCAAAGGTGATCGGTAACTGGAACTTTGGCGGTGACAGTTGCACAGCCATGCAAGCTATGGAGTAATTTTCCGGGTAACAGGCCTCGAATATCTCGAATCTGCTCTTCATCTTGGACAGCTGCTCGTACGGCAGTTGATACAGCGTCTTAAAGTCCAATTTGTTGGCTGGAAAACAGCAAATATACAATAAGATATTTGTCCTCACGTAACTGACCACTTTGGATCACGTAACTGACCAGCGCTTATCCCCACCAATTCTTAGAATTGGGACTGTTTCACGGTCGGTAAGGTAGCGCGTACCCCCACCAATTCTTGGCATTGGGACTTTTGTGTGTGCTGTTTCACGCGGTCGGTAAGGTAGCGTAGAGTGGGGATAGTCCCCCCACGCGTTACAAAATGTGATCAGTTAACATGAAGGCTATGATACCGATATTGGTGCCTAGTATCGATGAAATAGACACTTATTCCTATTCTTTCTTTCGATATCAACTCCTCGAATACACCTCTTCGCTTAACTGAGTTTAGGTTAGGTTTAGGTTTAGGTTTAGATTTAGATTTAGGTTAGGTTAGAACCAGTTTCGGTCCCGACTGTTGGTCAGTTACGTGGGGACTACTGTAGTTCTTCAGAAAATAATCTGACGGTGAGAGACGAAAAACGAGGGTGGAAACGTACCGATGGTTTGGGCAGCGCCGGAAGTGAATTGTCCGACGCAGGCAGCGGCGAAGTAGTTGGATCGTGCTATGCAAGAACGTAGCAACGCGGTGCCGATGCCGTTGTTTCGATGATCGGGCCTCACGCAGAGCACGTCGACGCACACGAATCTGTCGGCGTTCGTTGTTTCGTAGAACCGGGCTTTTGCAACGACGTAATTTCTCAGCAACAGAATCTGACGCAGTGTCTCTCCTTGCTGCGAAATACGAAATACGCAATAAATTTAACAATTTAAGTGAATGAAACGTGTCTGAACCTCGAGAGTGAATCTGCTATGTTTGAACGAAGTTTAAACGAAGAGGTAGCACTTTCGCTAAAATTAATTTCAATTATGCGACATAATCTTGCATAGTACCCCTAAGTATATTAACGACGCTGCATACCTCTTTCTTAACGAACAATTGGGATTTTTCAAACGTCGAGGCAACGAGTACACCTACGAGATCGTTTGTCCCTTCTTGAAGAGCACAGAAGCTCATCGTTTCCTCCATTTGCTCAAAGACCTTGTTCATGAACGCTTTCATGGACACGGCGTCGTTGTACAAACCAACGGCTTTAGACAACGGCTCCGTTTGACAGAAATGGGTCTGAAATGCACAGAGTAATCCTGCTCTGATTAATCTGAAGCTTAACATTTTATAGTTATCCTAGACAATTTCTTCGAAGTATTGATCTCTTAGATTACACAAGATATATATATATATATATATATAATTATTTTATTTTTTTTTTCTTAATCTATTTATATATATTTAAACTTATATATAAATAAATTAAGAAAAAAAATAAAACATTTATATACAGATAAATATTTTAATATAAATATATTGATCAATATATATATATATATATATAAATTTATTTAACTTACATAAATATATATATATTTATAAATATATGGGAAACATTAGAATATGTATATATTTGTGTGTTTAAATTTTATATATATATATAT